TTTTTAAGCTACCGTCGCTAGCTTCTCTTTTGATTTGTTGACATTGTGTTGCTGCATCGTGTGAGAAATCCATCTGTTGACTGAGTGGTTTTGCTTCTAAAGTTGTTGCCTTTTCACAGTCTAACATTTGGCTCTGTAGACATCGAAGCAATTTTTGTGACAGGTTGTCTCCACTAAGAGGTTAACTGAACGGTTGCTTTTATGTTAAGGTTTCAACACATCGATTTATCTGACTTGGACTCATTCTCTTTTTCTTATCTGCCCTGTTCAGAAGCGGATCTTGGATGGAAGTTTGGGTTTTGCAGCCGGGGTGAGTTTATTGTCCTCTGAACTCTACAGTTCACACACCGACACATACACACACTGCAGATCCCAGTGTGTTTCACCACAGCATGCCGAGTTCCCCCAAGACCTCATATAAACTCTGACACGTTCTGATGCCACATCTAATTTGATTAAATGTGAGGTAAGTATTCCCCCGAAGCAGGACTTGACCTTATCATACGGATTTTATATGCTGCAAATGGAAAAGATCATCAAATTCCCATGAGTCTTTTTCTTTCAATTACATTTTTTCGATTTCTTGCAGGAAAATAAACAGTTTATTGGCAAATTTATTTATCTTGCCGGTTAGAAAGGTAAGCTGGCACTGAATCCTGATGTTATACACAGATGCCTAAATCACATTGAAGTCATACAAAAAATAATGTGAAAGCTTGTTCAGGCCTATGATACTACGAAAGACTTACTAGAGATTTTACCACCTATGATAAACCAGTCAATATATGAACATTTTTAAACTCAGTTAATGCTAGCTGAAACAGATAAATAAAAAGCATTAGACACTGAATGCAGATTAGCATGTTTTTACAACATCAATAAATCATGTTGGCAACAATTTACAACACTAGGAGATGCTGGAGCACCTGCCTTTTTACCTTTGGACAAAAAAGTACCCTTCTGAAATCTTTTTTATGGTTTTTAAACAGTATATAGCTATTGATTTTTAGAAGGTATATATGCATAATGTTCAAGCTGTGCCTCTTTTAAAGACGGATTTCAGAATGACACTTTTTTGTGCTGAGGGAAAAAGGTAGGTTCTCACACTGGTTGCCGATGGTTACATGTGCCGCACAAGGTGCCCTTTTTTCCGCTGAGCACCCGTTCCCCAAAATGTCTGTGTAGACCAATTTGATTATCAAAAGGTAGTTTTAGTTGATTTACCCTCGAGAACCTGTGTGCTCGCTTCAAGTTTAACAACCCCTCATAGTAAATGTCAATGTAATAAACCTTTTAACAGATTTAATTGGTGACTCTTATTTTTTTCTTGTTCTATTAAAGCTGAAAGTCTTTTCCCCTGTAAAATAATAAGTCAAGTTGTAATTAAAGGCTATGATAGGTGATGAGACGAGACGAAAACTACATTATTGGAGAGCACCTTTTCTTTAGGTTGATGTTGCCAGGGAAGGATTCCATCTCAGGTTTTATTTCACTGTAAATCTACAGTGAATCATTTTATATTTCTTTATATTCTAAATAAATAACAAGCACAGAGAAATGTCAACCATTCAGATCTTGTTTCAAACTTAATAAGCTACTCACCATAAAATGTATTTTTATGCATCTTTTTATCTTTTATTCATTTGAAGATTTTCTTTTTCACCATCTTTAGTTTGTAAATGGTCTTTGACCTGTGGTGTAATGCTTTCTAGTTGAAGGATGATTTAGAAGTAAATAATACATTCTGTTGAATTTTCAAACATCTTTGCTGGTATTCTTTCCAATTAGTTGAAACGACTTTTGGATTCTTCACAAGATGGAAGTTTATAAATGTGCATAGAACAACTCTTGGGAAATAGAAGCATACACTTCTGCAGCATATTAGCAAGTAAAATACAGTAGACAGAGTTACTAGGTGACTAAAAGTGGTCGCCTATCAGTTCTGGTCTGCTTACCAGTAGTTTAGTTAGTAGCAGGCTGACTGCTGCGTTTGGCTTGTTTTTAGTTAAAAAATCCAGTCAATCAGCACCGTCACTCAGGGCAGATGGAAAGAGGAGGGACAAGACCAGTTTGCCCTTTATTTCTCCAAGAACATTCTTTGCAAACTGGAGATTGCATATGATTACAGATGGGGAGTGAATGGAGGTCAAACAGATCGAAATGTCTTTAAAGATACAGTACTATGGGAATGTTAAGTGGTTGACTTTACAGACCTGTCTAATGGACAGCAGAAGTACAAATATGGAACAACTACAAGCCTTTTTCAACTTTTCTTGTTTGCTGAACTTAAATCGTGGAATTGGGTCGACCTGTTTTTAACTTGAGGTACACTGCTTGCAGTTTTTCTGCCCATTCGGCGATCTTTAAAAAGATCTCTGATTCTGACCAATACCTTTATTTTATTTTTTTTAATGTATTTATTTTTTTCCAATTGACACTGTTAAAGTGTTTTTCTGGTGGTATGTGTTTTCCTTGGGGTGTTTTCAGAACCTTAATGAGCAGCGTTGGGACTGAGAATGGTTCTCTTTAGTACCAGGTCTAATATTCCCATTAACCCTCATGTTTGTGCAACTTGTGGTTTGTTCTGGAATGAAAAGCACAAGCATCAGCCAGGTGCTCTTAATCAATTATGCTCTATTATCTGGCTCATCAATTAATCAAGTGCACTCAGATTTTTTTAAGGCTTCACCTGCAGAACTGAACACCCCTGACCATTTCACTAGTCCTACCATACTTGGTAGGATGGCCAATGAACATTTAAATCCTTGTTCTACCAGATGCTTGTTATTCCTTCATATTTAGAGTGATACTGTGAAAACAACAGCTGCTTATTGGCCCTTTGGGGCATCTTGTTGCACTTATCCTGTCGGGCTAAATTTTTTTGTTACACGCAGACAGACGTCTTCATTGTCTGTGAGTCGCTGCTAACACCCTTGCAAGCTAGGCAGCTAGTTCATACATTTCTTTGGAGATATAGGTCTTAAATTTCATTCATAATGGTCTTAAAAAGTCTGAAATTTGATTTGGTGAAACTTCCAGAAACCTTGATTATAGACTGCACCAAGGACAGTTGTCCTATTAGCTTCTTCTCAGATGACCGTTCCCCTTAATGGGCTTGTCAGTTTAGGGGCAAAGTTTGCCTCAGTAGGTTTACAGTTGGTTCTTGAGGTCTCAACATGCCTCTCTGCGATCCTTTAATTGAGCTGTTTGAACTGCCAACAGGAAGGTGTTCATACTCGAAGGTGCAATTTTCACTACTGCCTCGACCGTGGGAACAATTCACTAGCCCTCCTCAAAACAGAGGAGGAAGAGAAGACCTAAATAGAGTTTACCAATTTTCCTGCTGGAAGCTAAAGCTGAGTTGTGTGTTTGCATTTTCTGAGGTATTTCATCAAAAACATTCTTCCTTCCCTCTTATGGTCTCACTGCATGTGATATTATTATTCTGGGTGTGTTCCGTCACTATGATCACAAAAGTCTGAGCTCCTAATTGCTCTGTTCTACTAGCACCTAGATTTACTCCACCATAGGTCTCGTTCTTAGGTCACTGCATCCCCTCATTTGACCTTGTACCAAAACAAAAGTTGATTTTTTTTTTATATTTGTTTTAGCAGATGTTTTTACATTCAGTTGGTAATTATTATGAACACGTCTTGCCTGAAGCAAATGGATAAGGCAAAGTAATAAAAACAGGAAAGAGGACAAACACTCAGGAGGTCAGGAATGTGTTTACGAATGAAAACGTCTTGGTGAAGAGTGAAAAATTTACATAAAACATAAACTCGGTGCTCTCTGTTCATTTCTGAAATCTCCTACCACATGAATATGTCCATGTTCAGGCTGCCATACTTACATTGCCTTACTAAAGTATTCAAGCTCCAGATTATTTTCACATGACATCTACAAATTTGGATCTACTTTTTAGGTGTTATAAGTTAGAAAGATACAGAATAGTGCATGACTGTTGAGCAGGATGAAATTAATGCATGGTTTAAAACAAAGCTTTAAAAATGAAGACCTGAAAAGTGTGGTGTGCATTAGCAATCAGCCTCACTGAGTCAATGCTTCGAGTTTTCTCTGCAGATGAAGGTCTTTTTGAATGTCTCTACCAGCATTGCACACCTAGAAACTGCATTTCTCCCCCTACCCCCATTATTTTTGAAAAAAGCTTGAATGTTTTTTACTCATTTTCAATTAGATTTACATTTGGACTTTGACTATTCCATGTTTTTTTTTTTGTCGTTTTTGTTTTTTCCTTGTAAAATGTAACTTGAATTTATTCTTTTACAACTAACGATTATTCTAGTAGTTGATTAACCATTGATTAAGTGATTAATTGGGTTAAAATATTGGCTCATTTTGCGGTTTTCTTATTTAACCACTTGAATCATTTTATTCAATAATAGGAATACATTAAAATAAAGAAATAAAATACATTAAATGATAAATAATTCAATTTCTTTTTAACATAAAACATTTTTTGTGTCTAAAACACAATGAAACAACTTTTTCTTTTTGGCTTACTTCCTGCTCTTAGTGTTGGGTTCTTTTAATAAATTGCCCTTTTTTGAGCGGCAGTTAAGGATTAATTGATTACTAAATTAGTTGACAATTATTTCATTAATTGATTAATTGTGATTAATGGTGATCTGAGTCCTAGAGCAGAGATGAGGACACTATGGATATTAGCTACTGCAATACTCATGTAGCAATACGTTATGCATGTTGATACGTTGTGAGCTAGGTTTGGTGTTTGAACAATTAAAAGAAGGAGTTTCAAGCGTTTTTAGAGGGAGTCTCGCGTATTTCCTGGCAGTTATGGTTCCTAACCCACGTGAATATCAGGGATCCTCTGTGTGGCTCATGACAGTCGGTGCATAGTGATCTGCAAGTGTTATCTGCATGATTCAGATCCTCCTCCAACTTGCATTCCCTCAATCCATGACATACGTGCACACACACGCACTCACACAGTCACAAACAGATTTGGATACAGATGGACACTCATGCTCACAGAACTAAGGAAAAAAAAACAGCCTTTGTCACTACATAATATGGCGTCATGCAGTGTCAGTGCGCAACTTCCCTCAGCTGTGATTGTTGAGGAAGAAGCCTAATGACCTATCATTAATGTGTGCATCCTTCCTTACTCAACTCTCCAGATTTTTTTTACCCCCTTTATATGGACGTTAAGCTCCTGACGACGTCTATTATTAGACAGAGGTGATGAAGCCGGCGTCTCCAAGTGATGTTAATCACAGTTTTGTTTTGTTTTTTCATATCAAGTATACGGAGAGCTACCAAAATATT